CGGAGACGGAGGATGTTCTGAAAGCTAAGGATTGTTTGTTTTTGTTTAACTCATTGATTATTTGTTTAGGGTCAAAAAACGTATGGAGCGCTAGCTATGACGACAAAAAACCCATATCCCTCCTCTCGCCACAGGAAAAAGCCAATCCCCCAAGCCCCTCTGGTATGGAGCCAACCGCACATCTCGCCTCAAAGAAAAGAAACCCAAGCCCGGCTAAATGGACGAACAAGGAAATCCTAACTAAGAAGAAAGCAGGAAGGGCCAGGAAAACCCGCTGAGAAATCCCAAAAAGAACAAAAGAAAGGTTAGTAGCAAGCCACGTAGGCCCCGAAGGGCGAGTCCACTCATTCAAGCGGGAAGCGACGCACGAAGCGCGCTAAGATAGGTGGCCCCCCCCAGAGCCTCCAAGGAGACAGTGCAATACCATGGAGGGAAGGAGGAGACCAGCCGGCCGTGGGCGATAACCGGGGGGAGGAGAAGGTGTAGCAGTAGGGTGCCAGCCGATCCGACCGTAGGGAGAGGAGAGCGGAGGGGTAGACCCAAAGACCTTTAACAACGACTATCGGAAACGCGTTCGTGTCTGACTAGGCAGCCTCTTAGGGAAACAAGAGAACGGGGAGATCGACCGTAGCCTGTTGGCTGTTCTCCCCTACTGCGACTGTAGTCCCGGCCGTCTGACGATGGTGGTTAAGGGGTTGCCGACCGTGAGAAGGCTAAGCGAGGCCAACTCAGGAGGAGGATAGGACTCCCCACGACGCGTGGAGGGAGGAGGAAGGGGGAGTAAGGAAGGTCATCAACGGCCGCCTAGGCCAGCATGGCAAGTGTTTTACCGCGTCTCTCATGTAGTCCCTTGTTCTGGGAGAGATAGCGTCACTGTAGTGGATGGGATCCCACCACCTGCCAGCCAGCCAAGGAGGGCCTCCGACCGACCAACCCCCAGGGAGAGAGAGAACCCTAGGACGGTAGACCGAAGTCAATACCTCCGGGTGGGAGAGGAGAGAGGAGCCAGACTCCCCTAGGCCGAGGCCAAAGGCAGGAGTGGGCGGGAGGGAGGAGAATGTTTCGCAATGAAACAAAAACTCACGATAAAAACCGTGGTGTTGAGTTTTCAATCGCCGGAGGTGTAGCGGAGACGGAGGATGTTCTGAAAGCTAAGGAGGCATCTCAATATTTATATTCCACGTCTGGGTGGTCGCGGGCTACATCTATCTATCACCAAACAATGTACCATCCCTAATTTCTATCCCTTGCTATCGTACGGGGATTCCGTTTGACCCTGACAAATTTCGCGTCTTGCTCGAACTACAGTCTCCTTGAGTTGTCGTGTTTCCGTGAGGGCATTCGAAACCTCTCCGGCGAAAACACATGATTCATTTGTCTTGGAGGTTTATGTATGAGCAAGTAGTCTCACCTCAAGCCAACTCACCATCCTCCTTACTCTGACTGGAGTGATCAGCTCAGTCGAGAGTCTTATCAAATGCCTCGTCGTCTTTGCAACTTGACTGCATTAGCTTTGAGGACTTTCTGCCATAATCGGACTAGTCAACGTCGTGGAAAAGTTCCTCATCCACAGATAGGCCTCCGGTTGGCTCTACACTTTGTGAGTACTAGACTGGACTCCGTGCCTCGTCCTTACGGGTACGTCCCGATAACTCATTGGACTGTTGGCAATTTCGTCCTAATACTTTCTGTCCATGTCCGAGGTGGTCAACCTTGCTTAGCTCGTAGCTCCATGGTTACCCATCCGATTGACTCCATTTTACTTTTTCAGACACAGCCTGAGGTCCCTTCTTATATATCCTGCGAACAGCTTCCAGTCGGACAGACGGCGACAACGTATACAGTGTTATGAAGCATGCTTCATTTTCACCGGGTTATACTGTCAGGACACCAAATTCCGGCGATACTATTACTGTGTGCAGGGCCAACGGCGGGGCCAGAGGGGGGTGTTAGCTGTGAAATCTGTGCGGTTTTCAGGAGGTCTGTGCACGGGGAAGGTCTGTGCATTCATATGTGTAACATTCACCCAACATGACTCATACCTTACATCACATGAACCTTATAACTCATAACTATGAGTCATGTGAAATCCATCAGCTAATTCCTATGAGTCACTGTGTAACATATCTTAAATCAATCAAAACTCAATAATCAAATCAGGTGTATAACTCATGTCACCTGAGTGAAACCCATGACTCATAACTTGAGTCATATGCAAAAATCATAACATTGTGTGACTCACAACTGTAAGTCATGAACAGGTAAACATAATAACCTATGGCATACTAGTATGTGTCATATGAAATTCCAACATACCTATAGCTCAAAATCTCAAGCTATATAAAATCTGCCTTACCTAGTCACAGTTTGTAACATGAGATTATGATCACTTAAAATTTCAGAATAGTAGCAACTCAGACTCGGCATCACTTGCTTAAAATATACTGGATGCAATCAGACTTGATACCTAGGTTCAGGATACACTGGATGCAACTATACTTAGCATCCAAGTACTAGATACACAGGACATATGGGATACAGAATCCTCCCTCTATGCATCAGGATACACCGCCCATGCCTCTGATGCAGGAATAATTTTTACTGCTGTAGTTGATTGATTTATTTATTTTTCTTTCATCTTATCTTATTTTATATAATATAACAATAACTTGAACACTATTCTAACTCTAATAGTTACAGTAATTTTCATTTGTGTTTATGTTAATAGTTTTACCTATCTTGAATGCATTTCCTTCGTCCATTCACGACTTTTTAAGGTGTTCCTAGTAATACCGGTATTATGTGGGTGAGTTGTGGGATGCCTACAGCTACGGGACAGTTCAAGGACCAAAAAGGAAAATATCACAATGAGGGGAACGAGGTCTTCTTATTGGCAGCCGGGTAACTTCATTTGAAAAGAGATTGCTGCAAGGCCGAAAGTGATCAGCAGTGGAACTTTGGATGCGGTCTGGGATTAGATCGGACGGAAAGAACGACACGGAGAAGCTCTCGCTGCGTGGGGCATCGGGAATGGAGAAGGACGTTATTAAGAGGCCCGTGAAAACAAAAAGTGCCGTCCACAGCCAGCACTCGAACACTTTAGTTTCATTATCCTTCCAGATATTGATGCACTGTACTTTGTTTTCCCCATAAATTCTTAAGCACCGTTTGCATTATCTACAGTACCAGTACGGTGGATACCGCCGGCAGACTTTCCAGAGTTGGATTTTTCTCAATCGGGAAACGTTACCACTGTCTGTTCCTGGCTTCCTCCCCGTTCCGTCCCTTTCTCGTGAGAAAATGAGGGGGGAAAGAATGCTTAATTCTGGTCACCACCCATTTATCCAACCCAATCTTCAAATGCTCCACTCAAAGCAAGGCCACACAGCCACAACAACTTGAATTTGTGGGAAAGGAGGGTATCTCCTTGTGGGGTTGAGCCCCAATCGTATTGCTGAGGCATGGAAGTGAATTAATACCAGTGCTCTGGTGAGTTCCTTGGATTCTACCTAGGATTGACCACTAGTGAAAATCGAAGAGCAGTAGTGCCCTGTGCTTTCGAATTCAAAAGACAGAGAGGCCAGGAAAATGGTGAACATCTAACCAGGGATCGAAAGTCTAATTAGGTCTGAGCTCTGAAGAAGCAATCTGAGGATGAGAGTGAGGCAGGATATGCTTTTCCGAGGTTCGTTTCCGGGGTGTCTTGAGGGCAATACTTTTCTTGTGTCATCATGAAGGAAAAGATCCCACAGAGACCGGAGCTTCGGGATATTGGGCGCATACTACATACAGCGATTTATTTTGTTTATCCACAAACAACTACCTTCGACCCCACACATACCGATATTCAATCAGAAAAGTAATATCGTTGTCTCAGCATGTTGACCGCCACCCTATCAGCCCTTACTTGAGGAATCCGACAGGCAGTAGCAAAAAATCAGTGCTTGACTCTTTGATTAACATTCATCATATTGAACACCCACCCACAAATCCCCAAATCCATCCTATCATCCTCCCTCTTCCTCAACCCGGCAAAAACAGAGTCCGGCCCCGGCGAAAGGGCATCTCCCCAAGAGGCGCTTTCCTATAAGCTACGAACCCAAAAAGTGATCCCACCCCCCAAGAATGAGCCCCATTCTGGTACCCGTCGCAGACCACAAAGATCTCAAACGGGCACTCGCATAACTATCCAAATTCGACGATTTTGTAGGAACCTTCTAGGAAGCACCCCTCCAACAACCTCCCCCCTCTCCCCACCCAAGGCTCATATCTTCGCCAAGTTAGGATAGGATTCGGGAAAAGACCGTCGAAGGGATAAGGAAGGTGGTTGAAAAAAGGAACAAGAGATTCCCGCGTTTCCGCTATTTTCGGTCCGGGGACTTTACCCAAAGCTTGCTAAAGTGTAGTATCTCGAGACAAACATGAATGAAGTCTCCGCTTGTGAGCTTTGTGAGCGAGTCTTTGGGGGGTGGGGTGGTTAGAAAAAGGTTTGTTGTGGGTGAAGGGATTTTTTTATAGTGGGCTAGTGAATGGATGGGAGGGTAACTTTTTTCGCCCAATACCGGTACCGGTATCAACCCTTTGTCCAAGAATAGTAGTGGGTTAGGGTTGGCTTGATCAAGTTCCAAAGAATGGGTGGCGTCCGGGTCCGTTGCCGGGGTGTGAGAAAGAGATGGATTCCGGTTTTCTGCTTCCCTTCTCCCTCTATGTCGCTAGCCCAAACATCCTTTTTCTCGTTCTTCATTTCACTTTTTCGTTTTTCCTTCAGGTCAGGAAATACGGAATATCAAGAGCTTTGGGGGGTTATCCTACTCGTCCCGTTCTATCAGTCCCACACTCTTTAAATTCAATCCAAATATCCCGATCTCCTGAAACCTATTGGGCAGTGAGAAGAGAAAAACATCACCAATAATGGCGACCCTACAGTCCAGAATTTCGACCACTTCTCGCTCCCCTGCCGTGATAATCTCCTCCACTTCGCTCACAATCTCCTACCCGACCCTACAGAGTCTTGTGTCCAGCTTCCAAAAGAACCTCGCGGCAATCGGGATCACTCCCCATTCACCCGTGTCAATCGCGCTCCCGAACAACCTCGAATTCATAGTTTCCTTCTTGGCGACGGCTGCCCAAAGAGGTATCGCCGCACCGCTGAACCCTGCGTATAAACAGGGTGAGTTTGAATTCTTTATCGATGACGTTAAAAGTAAACTTGTTGTTGTTTCGAGGGGAGCGGTGAGTAAGGGTGCTCCAGAAGTTGAGGCTGCCAGGAAATTTGGGGTTGCAATTGCCGAAGCTTGGTGGGATGACCGGGGAGGTGAGGTTTGCTTGGAGGTTTTGGAGAAAGGCGGATTGAGGGGTGGGGCCAAGGTTGAGAGAGCGGAACCCGAAGACGTTGCGCTAGTTTTGCATACTAGCGGGACTACGGGACGGCCTAAGGCTGTGAGTTCTTTATTAAGAAAGCGGAGGGGACAGAAAGGAACTTAGGCTGATTAACTTAGGTGCCTTTAACACATAGAAATTTAACTAGGACTATGGGTAAGCCCATTTGGTATTTATTTTGGTGAGTTCTGCTAATCGAATTTAGACAACATTGTGCAAACGTACAAGCTTACCTGGGAGGATAAAACCTATTTAGTTATGCCTTTGTGAGAATCTCACTTTCGCCATGAGTTATGTGGGGTTTCTAGAGCTAATTGAAGGCATATTCTAGATTCCACGTGCACGGCCTTTTAGCGGGTTTGCTGCCCAAGCTCGTGCAGAGCCATTTTGGAATATGGGCTAAAAGCTAACGCGATCAGGCTTCCTTGCTCCTCTCCAGTCCGGAGGGACCGTAATTGTACCGGTTAAGTTCTCTGCCGGCGAATTCTGGAAGGAGTTTATCAAGTTCGGAGCCAATTGGTACACAGCTGTAAGGCCCTTGTAAAAGTTCTCTGTCAGGAACAAGCATGATCTAACCTTACCAGGTTCCCACAATCCACCAGATTCTTCTCAAGAGCCCCTTTCCATCTCAGATTCCTCCAATCCGTTTTATCAGATCCTGCTCCTCCCCACTTTCGCCCACAACCTTCCACGCCCTTGAAGAGGCTTTTAAGGCACCAGTTCTGGAAGCCTATGCTATGACTGAGGCTGCTCATCAAATGACCTCAAATCCCCTCCCTCCAGCCAAACGCAAACCGGGAACTGTCGGCCTCGGCCAAGGAGTCGAAGTCGCAATTCTAGACGCAGATGGCAATGAAGTTCCTCACGGCAAGGAAGGCGAGATCTCCATTAAAGGCGTTAATGTAACCAAAGGCTATATAAACAACGAAAAGGCCAACGCAGAATCATTCACTTCCACAGGTTTCTTTAGAACCGGAGATCAGGGTAAGAAAGACGAAGACGGGTATGTGATCATCACAGGGAGAATCAAGGAATTGATCAATCGCAGTGGTGAGAAGATCAGTCCTATTGAGGTTGATAACGCCATCAGTTCTCACCCCGCTGTCAGCGAAGCTGTAAGCTTCGCTATCGACAGTGAGATGTACGGACAAGAGGTTGGGGCTGCGGTGGTGCTCAAGAGCGGGAGGATGGTTACTGAAGAGGTGTTGAGGAAGTATGTTGGAGAGAAGCTAAGCAAGTTTAAGGTTCCAACCAGGATCTGGTTTACGGAGCATATGCCTAAGACTGCGACCGGGAAGATTCAGAGGAGAATTGTGGCCGAAACTATGCTTAAGGGGGATCAGCCGAAGGCGATGTTGTAGACTTGTACATAGAGCACCATAGCGAGAGCGTGGTACGGGTTTGTTTCCCATTACTAGGTTGCGCTTCGGCACCTTGGTAGAGCGGGGGAATACACAACATGTATGTTTGGCCGGTATAATTTGTGAATTATTATGAGTTCTTGCAACGTACCATCTCTGCTGTGCAAAGCCGCTACATTACCTACCGAGTGATCATGCATGAGTGAACCAAAGATGGCCGTTCGGACTTGCTCGCTGTGCGGGCTAAGTAATGTAGTATAAACACCTCAAGGAAGGCTAAGGGATATCGCTTGCCAGCCACATGCATCGAAAATTGGGTTTTCTCTATCATCACTGAAATAGTGTTTCGGGAAATCCGTAGAATGAAAAGCGTAGTAATGAAAGAATGCAGGACGTGTCTCAAATTTTCCTTCTCACTTTATAGTAGTATGCTAAAACAAAATAAACAGAACATAATAAACAGATAAACATTAATACAATCAAACAACACCCCGGTGGACCTTTTCTCTGCTAGTAATGATATGTTTAGAGTATTTATTTCTGTGTGCCTCACTAGTAACATGTCTACCATACAATGGAAATAGTTGAGATACAAATTACTTATACTTTAATCTCAGTACCGCTAGTATATAGTTGTTCTACATACTGTCCAGCAATAGGAACAATACAGTTAAGCAACCAGAGTAGTAGTGTTCAAACTTGAATTAAATATAGTCAATTAAAATATGCAACTTTTAGAATTTGTCTGATACTATATATATAAAAGAAACTTACTTACTAGTATAGTAGCTACTACTAAGAGCTGAAATTGTAACTATTAACTTAAAGTACCCTTACTATAATACTACTTTCCAAATCCTACTTTTCATCTTGCTAGTTAGTAGTAGAAAGGTAAGAACATAATTCAATACCTTAAATACAATCTTTCAATCCTGCCTAACTGCTAAACTTAAAGCTTTACACAGTATGCTAAAATAATATTTTCTGAGAAAACTACTATCTCTCTCCCTGTACTAGTACTTTTAGGGTAGTAAGGACCAGTCAGAGCTGTGAAAAAAAACAGGCTTCTTGTTTCTTAATATAAGAAAAAAGATTTTCTCTGTTCTCATTTAACTGAAACATGAAAATAAAATATAAGAATTTATTATTTCAGTATCTACTAGTAGTGCTAGTATCTCCATTTCTGCCTGCTTTTTTAAGTCTTATAAAAAAAGGATGTGCAGTAGGTTTCTGACTAAAAGGACTATAGAATTAAGACTTAAATTCATTAAACAGGAGTAGATTTACTTTGCTAATAGATCCTTAAACTATTCTTTAAAATAAATACTATGAATTTTTTTTTTCATACTAGTAGCTAGCTATAAATAAAACTAGCAGGTTTAATAAAAATAAAAAACCTGCCAGTAGAATTATAACTATTAATATACTACCAGCCCAGTTCCAAGTCCTATCACAATAATATTATATTCCATATACCAGAGTAGAAAGTAAGCAGGAAATGATATATTTAAACTACTACTAGTAGTCAATCTCAGGCCAAACATGCTTATCTGATCCATCTCACTCTGGTCACTAAATTGTTATTTTACCAGTATCCAATATACTAGTATTTAATTGAAATACATATTGCTTATATCTCTAGCACCCCATTACAGCTACCTCATAACAGTATTATAACAGTTATAAGCTTCTTCTGTCTACTGTCCAGCAGTAGCAGGAACACCCCTGGGCTCTCTCCGAACTCTGTAGTAATTAGTTAAATTATAAAACTTTTCTAGTTTATTGTATAGATAAAGAAATATCACTTACCAGAATCTTTCAGAGTTGAAATTGCAGCTATTAATATACTATTATAACAATAGCAGTATACTAAGTATATCAGAGTAGAGGGCAATCAAGTAAGATAGGTTTCAGCCAACAGCAATAATTCCCTGCCACCTGCTCACTTGTCCCATCTCACTCTGGTATTTTAATTTTTCTCTTGCTAGCAATCAGCCTCAGGGTCTTCATATATCAGTATAGTAATCATATATCACTTACTGCACTAATGTATTCTATAAAAGTCAGCTAAATAGGAGCATAAAGAAAGGTAGATATGATTGAATTCAAGTTAATACTTGCAAATCATATCATACTATTCCAAATAGTTTTACTGAATATACCAACATACCTTGAGTAGTTTAAAATATATATTTTATCTATACTTATTAGAATTAGTATTTCATCGTCAAATGTTAGATACAATAGGACTTACTAAATGTTCTCTATTAAATATTGATTAGATAGCATCTGATCAAAGAGTAAATGGTATTTTGAAATAATTATAACTTGAACCCCTGCAAATTAACCCTCCCAGGCTCAGGCCACCAGCTTCTAGTAGGTGGTGGCCGATAGCTGTCAATCCTCCCTATAGGTCTAGTACTAGTACCTACTAGTAGAAAATGACTAGATTTATATTCTTATATATTAGTAAATAAAAATAAGTATGAACTAGAGATATAGTATTATAAACCTTCTATAAGTACTATCCTAACTCAGATCAAGGAGTAAATATTATTTTAGAATAATTATAATTCTTCAAGTTTACCAGTCCAAACCCAGGCCACCAACTAGGTAGTGGTCAATAGCTGTCAACTCTCTTAGTAGAACTAGTACCTACTAGTAGAAAATGACTAAACTAATATTTAAGTCTTTATATGTTAGTAAATATATATAAGTAAAAACTAGAAATATAGTATCACAAACCTTCTATAAGTACTACGACTTAATAGACCAATGTCCACCTTGACAGTATCTCTACCAGTGTACCATTTGTTGAAAGTACTCTGACAATTTTTATTAAAATTCCACAATTGCTCAAGGGGTATGAAAGGTGTACTAGAAGGTAGAGAAAATATTGAAAATGAGTAATAAGAAAGTTAAAAGGTTTATTGGAAGTCAACCCACAGGAACTACTCCTACTAGTAACCATCCAGGAGCAATCCAAGGATAGTTCTCCAATGGTTTTTGTTAATACTTTCTTTAGAAAGTATAACTAGTACTCTTTCCAGAATGTTGGAATTGAGTACTATTTTTAAATGCTCTTATTAATATAGATTCAAGTTAGCTGAGATTGTAATAGTTAGAATCTACTAGTATAATTAACATACCTATATTAATTAAAATCAGTATACCTTTATTAGAGGACTAATATTTAAGAAAGTAGTAAGGGTGGTAAGGATGATGATAGAGAAAAGAAGAGTGAGAGTAGTAAGGATAATAAAATGATTAAGATAGTAAAGAATTTGAGAATGGCAAAGGCCATAGGAGTGAAAATGGTTGAGGGATGGGAGAAATGATTGAAATGGTAGGGTATTGGAAATGGTGGAGATGGTAAAGGGAAAGAATAGAAAAAATGAAGATATCAATTCAACAAGTATCTGTAGAGAGTCAGCTAAAGGCCACAAGATTCCAAAATTGAAGAGAGGAAATACGTACTTGCCTTGATAAAAACATCGGCCTGAATAGATAATACATAGGAGCCTGAAGTATAGAGACAGGAGCGAGGACTGTCGCAGGTGTAGAGCCGGTGAGATGAGGAACAAAAATAAAGGAAAGAGAGGGGTGCCATGGGCCCCCTTATATACCCGCTGAGCGACAGAAAGCAGTCCTCCATTCTGTATGTGTGCGTACCTCTTTTGAGCCCAGCGTGACCGCTAACAGCATCGCACTCATGCGGGCTTTTTTTTTTCGGGCTAGGTTAATGCCCGAATTTCCCATAGAAAACATCTCCAACGCTACGTCTGCAGTATCATAGAACGTAGCGTTCTGAGTAGACAGGAGGGCAGCTGCGCAGACTCAACCCACTCAATTCCCGCTTGCTACCTTCCAACCGGCTCAAGTTCCTTAATGGCTGTGGGAAGCCTGTTCTGGCCTCCCAGGCTCCAGCTGATGATAAAAGCTTCTGCCAGTCCCACCGGGCATGTAAGTGTCGTGGTGAGCGCTCGTATGCTTGCGGAAATTCCCCTCCTATGATAAGTCAACAATGATAATATGTCGGGGGCACAAGGGGGGGCATTTGTGCGGGAATTTGTCCATGGAGTGAATTAGTGATAACGGGGAAAATGTGCAGTCGCGACAAGGAAATGCCAGGACGGGTGCGGAGCAGGGTACGAACAAATCACCGGAAGGCGGAAGAGGAGGAGATATGATACTGGAAATAAAAAAAACATAAGCTGACAGGACAGAAATAACAGAGTTCACCTCCCCATGCGAGTGATGGTACGTGCATGGCACTTTTGTTTGAACCACATGGACCCTTCTCCCACTCCAAGTTCCCACAATCGGTCCGGGCCGACGGATTCCACGAGTGGATGCGACTCGCGCCTGACGCTGCGCTCCTCTAAGGAGCCCTTCCGGTGAACACAGCTGACCCACGGATTCCGGCAGCAAACTCTGCCAGTCTATTTATCATGCCTGACTTTCATTTTTTCTTCTCTTTTTGTTTTCACCTTTTTTGCGCACCTCCCAGACCCAAGCACAGCCAACCCTTTTATCATCCCAAAATCTCTATCATGCAGACAGCTCTACCAGCCGGGTACTCCACGATCAATAGAACCGGATACAGGAAGAAAGAAGAAAAACAGGAGGATTACACGAGTGATATTCGGTGCAGTAGCCGACAACCGTTCTCTTGGAGGAGCGGAATTTCCCACGGCACTGCCTTGGGTGAGTGTGCGCCTTCGCTACTCTACCCAACTAGACTTGGATCCTGTGCACGGTCGGTGGGTGGTAAGAGCTCCGCTGGACCGCTGGACTTAGAGGTGCCTTGTGATGTATGGACTGTGATTAATTGTCGCTAGGGCTCATTCCGGTGCGTGGTGGGGTGTGTTTCTCAGGAATTTGTCTACTTGGATGTGGGGAGAACGCACGCAAAGTTTTGGGGAAGAAAAAAACGCCTGACGGATGGAATCTATACTTTTGCCTGATTAGCGTGGTATGTGCACGGTGATGAATGGGTGCCTGCACACGGCGAGTTGGAGGATGGCTTGGGCGGTGCCGGTAGTTGGAGAAAGACTTCGGGACTTTATAGTCCTCCTGATGAATACACTGGTTGGTTTTGACTAAAATTGGATCAACGCTGGTCACCGCACTGTCACACCTCGAGGGGCATCAATAGCGCTACAAGAACAGCTTTATTTAATTACCTATTTTATCCGTTTATCTGTTTAATACATTCACTTAACGCTACTCCCCCAAAATGAACTGACCCCGAACATCACTAAAGCATAGTAAACATACAGCCCGCCGTCCGATGGAACCCACTTTACCGTGCCATGTACGTAGGAACAAAAAAAGAGGAAGGGAAGAACATTACACCGTTTTTCATTTCTCGATACATATAGGCCATATGCCGAGATAGCAGCAAAAAAGCCACGCGGAAAAAGACAGAGGAGCAAAGAACAAGTACCTAAAACAACCAAGCAACAAACGTTTTATAGAACAAGCCACGCTGGTTATCGATTTTGAGCGCTTTCTTTCTCAGGTACTCCTCCTCCTCGCGATCAATCTTCTCCTTTCCGGTGAATAGGTCTACTTGGGAAGCCGGGATGCCAGTATTGGGGTAACGGAGCTTGTACCCGACAATCATGATAAGGTACAGCGGGATACCAAGATAGCCGGTGATGAAGTTCTTGTAGTCGAAGGAGCCGTAACTCTTGCTGTACGTGAACACGTTGAAATTCTTGAAGATGGCGATGATGGAGCACGAGATGAGAGCCCCATAAGATCCCCAGACCCCGAATGGCGCGGTGTAGGCTAGTTGATCGTCCGTGATTCCTTGAGCGCGACGGGCACGCACAAAGTAGATGTGGGTTACGAGGATGGAGATCCACGTTAGGATACCAAAGATGGTAACCAAGTTGACAAAGTAGCCAAAGACAACCTTCGAGTCGTCCGAGACGTTCATGAAGGCTAGGAGGCCGAACAGCGAGGACAGGCCGAGAGCGTAGGTGGGGACACCACGCCTATCGGTGTAGGCCAGGAACGCTGGTGCCCTTCCTTCACATGCGAGACCGTAGATTGTTCGGGAGGCAATGTAGAGATCTATTTGCTAACCATCAGCTTGATGCTACAGATAGGGGGATAGCAATGGCTCCATACCGGAGTTAGACGCGGAGAACACAAAAAGCAAGATACAAGCGTTCAAGATTCCGGCCAAATGGGGGATCCCACTGAGCCTGATAGCAACAACGAAAGGGCTGGCGGCAGCAGAGCTCTTGGCTTTGGTGGCGAAGATGAGCTCGTCAGAGTTATATGGCACCAACATTCCCAACAAGAAGACGGAAAGGACGTAGAATATAACAATCCGATAGAAGGTCAATTTGATAGCTCTTGGAATCGTCTTGCGGGGATTCTGCGCCTCTCCGACCGTGACGCCGACCAATTCAGTGCCTAGGTATGCGAAAGTAGCGGTAACAAAAGTAGACCACAGGCCCAAGAAACGACCCTTATCGCCTTTCGCGATATAGGTGTTGAAGGCGCCCGGATCCTTCCAGTAGCGGAATCCTTTGCGATCATGATCGGGACCACCCCCAAGGGCAAGAACGAGTGAAAGCAAAATCAATGCGACAATCGTGACAACCTTAATACCTACCGTACCCACCAACACGATTAGCAGCCGAACCGACCACCGCAACGGTAGCACTTACTGGACAGCCAGAATTCGAATTCCCCAAAAAAGCGAATACCGAAATAATTGATGAAAATGATGACCACCAGGAACACTGTGATCCAGACACCTGGATTCACCTTTTCTCTAGGAACCCAGTACTGTATGACCAGTGCAGCTGCCGTTAACTGGTTGGGCGTGACAATGATATACCTTCGTCCCATGAGTATGGCGCACTAACCAGCCCGGAGAGAATCCAAGCAACTCACTTAAACCAATAAGTATAACCAAGGGCGAAACCGAGCGCCGGGTCACAAAATCTGGTGGCGTAACCGGTGAAACCAGAACCGAGCGGGAGCCAAGCAGCCATCTCACCCAAAGCGCACATTACCAAGTATACCAAGAAACCAACGATGGTATAAGAGATGAGAATTGAACCAGGACCCGCACGGGCAAGAGCAGAACCGCTATTCACCCATCAATTCGATATCCGATATCCCCGCTGGCAAGCAAAATATGAAATACTCACGTTCCGATGATCAAACCGGTGCCGATAGCACCACCGATGGCTATCATAGTGATGTGCCTAGCCTTCAAACCGCGGTGCAAATCATTGTGACCGCCGACACCATTGTCCTTGGTAGTGATCTCTGATTGCTCTGATTGAGGTATCTTCTCGCTGTGCGAGTTGGAAGAAGGGCTGGTGTCCCCCCCAGCACGATGAGACAGAGTGCTATTCATGGTGATTTCCTCTCCTTCCTCCCCTCAATTTTTCCTTTCCCACGGTCGTCTAAATCGGGTGCGAAGAGAGGGGAAAAACCGGAAAAACGATGCACCCAAAGGAGGATGTTGAATGAATGGGCGAGTAGCGCAAGGTAGGATTTTGTATTGGATTGGGTATAAAAGGGCGGAGGGAGGAGAAGGGGGGGAGGGGAGGGGCGAGGAGATGATGCGGTTATATATGCGGTCCTCTCATTGCCAGCAATCCAGCAGCCAAATTTACCGTACCGCACATCCACCCCCGCCCCAGCAGCTATAAACTTAAAATCTGGACAAAAGGGGGATGGGGGTTACTTCACGCGAGCTGACACAGCTTCCACCGCAGGTTTATGCCGTTCTCGACCGCACGCGCTGCGCCGGTATGCACGAGCACCGTACCGTATGATGGCAGCTTTGTGGAGAGGGCAAATCATGGGAGCACGCAGGAGGGCAGGACACATTGGTCAGTAAAAGTGGCCTCGACCGGCATGATACCGGTACTATTTTACAATGCTTGGTAGAGCCGCTCGAGTGGAGCGCGAGTTTTTACCCACACGGCCAAGCGAATCGAGTACTACAGTACTCTTCTCCACACCTGCCTGACACATTCAGTGATACAACTGCTCGTTCACCCCCCAGATGAATTACGGTACGCCTCGCTCGAGCACCGCGCTTGTACCGTGCTGTAGATACCCTCGCCTCTTTTCACCTCTGCACCCCACGATAAGAGTGGAAACAGAAAGCCACTAGTGGTTCGTGTGCGCTAGGTATGGTTCACAGCGGAGAACAACGGGCGGAAACAGCCATGTCAGGCTGTCTCCAACTAAAGAGCAAAACTTACCGCTGCACTAGAACCCGTACAGTACGGTACGGCGAAGGGATGGGTGGAATAGGTTATAAGTTCGCGACCCTGGTAATATACTGTACGAGTACTGCCAACCAAGGAGGGATGCTTCCCAGTCCCCGCTGCAAACAATGTATGATATTTTGGGCGCAGCACATGACGGACCCAGTAAAGGATAATGGCGTGCCTCATGAGGGCCAATACCGGTATCATGCCTCCACCGCCTGCTTCGTATTCGAAAAGGGTTTCTGGCCGAGGTTTCCCATACATGCCGGTACAGGATCTCCAGTTCCTGTGGAGTAACGTTACATACAGTACCTGGCCACGGTAGCGCCGCTACCGTACTCGTACTGTACAGTGCGGTAGGAGTACCTTTCGGGCCCTCCCTCTGATCTGATACCGTGCTTGTGCTTGTGCTAGTACTCGTACTGCGATCCCGTTCGACGCAGCCCACCCAATCATCCTCGTTCCCTACCGTTTCTTCGTATTGCCCTAAAGGGTCTAGTTCCGGACATGGATCCCAATGGGGCAGTAAGTGACGCCCGACTTACAGCATACCGGTATGCGGTATCGTCCCGGTATCATACAGCGCCGGACTCTCATAACCTATCATATCATACCGCACCAGTCACTGTGTGTGGGAAAAATGTCGCTCCCTCAAGCCATAAGTGAGGCTCCATAGGCAGTCACCAAGGCTAACCAATCGCCCCCCCCCCCCCCCCAAGCCCGAGGCAGCGCCCGGTGTTTGGTATTGGTCTCATGAATTGAAATGAGCGGTGCAGGACTGCCGCCCGTTGGAGCCCCGGAGGGATCTTTCATATCCAGCAGTTCACCTCTCGAGTAGCATGGTCAAGCGCCGACAACCTAATGATTCCCACTCGATATTCATTTCGGTAGATCCATCATCCCTCCCTCCACCTTACAGGCTCATCTTCTCTTACCATACCGCTCCCATACAATACCAGGACTATCGTCATATTCGATGAAACCAACAAACCAACTCGCCACCTTATCGACAGAGATTGATTGTGAGGTCCTCACCCCTCTAGAGCTTACAAAGTCTCAGGTAATTAGCGCAAAGCGGAAGAATCAGAAAAGCCTGCGGAAGCGCAACATTGGCGCCTTTTTTTTTTCCCCAAAAAGCGTGGAGAGGGTCGCAGCCGCACCACCTCACCCAGATCAATTGATGCATCAAGAGATCGTCAGTGCCCTTGGCGATCGCCTTGGCCCATCAAAAGCAGCCGTTCTCGGACAACAGGGCCAGAACACGCACCAAGGCTCTTCCTAGAAACCGCGAGATCTCTCTTCCTTCGACACGTCCATAATCGTAGCTGGACGGTAACTTAAAGTAAAAGCTTATCTCTTTAGGTCACTATTATCATAAGCTAATCCCCGCACACTGTTAACTCACCCACAGTTGTCATTTGACATCTGCTGCCAGATACAGTAATCCATCCATCCGCTGCTTTTGCCGGAGGGAAAGATCACCACTACGGTAGATCGTTAGCTTATCGGCCAAGAATCACAAGAGATCCAAACGCATCCACAGCCGTTGCCAATCCTTCCTTTCCTTGGCTTGAAAGCCTACGCTCTTCTTCGCTCCGGCCTCTTCCTGATTCTGTTTTCGAAGCCTTTCCCCAGCACCGGCTGGACACATCCGTCACTAGAAACGGAGGAGCCACGATCTCGGAGAACCCGCCTTTGAGAACTTTTCCCAACCTCTCTCCCGCCAGCGAGCGGCGGTTTACTATGGTGCCCCTCGGTAAAACAAGGGAAAATGAAGTCTCCACGGTTCTGGGTCAACAAATAAAAACAAAAAACTGCTGGGTGGGGAGCTTCCTGGAACGTAGCTCTTTCATCTGTAACCAAGGCGGAGGTGCCATTAATCGAATCCCTTTGCGAGGAGAGAACCCCGAGATACCGTATCCAAGCTGTTATGCGGGGTAATGGCCGTTAGCCGGCGAGTGGTTGGGAAGGAACGAAATTTTTCGTGATATCCTTTCGGAGGGAGCATTATGTGATAGGAGAGTGGAATCGGAAGGGCCAAGGCTGAATTGAAAAGTACTCCTCCCCTACGGGATAAGCACGGCATTGTGCCCCGATAAAGTTAGTGAAATACAGTTAGTGAAGAATTAATGTACCGCACTTGCGGGTTAACTTGCAAAGCAACCTCCCCGGCTTGCACGAGTTACTTGTTCGGGGTTATGGTGCTGGGGAGGACTTGTTCCCCATGGCGACTGGGCTAGGCATAGCGCAAAGTAGAGTTGGAAACAATGCTAGCTGGTGATATCTTTGCCTCTCTTACTTGTCACTCTGGCCCCGGTAGAGGGAGAGGGGGGAAGTGTGGGCTGTAAGGTGGTTTGAGAAATCCTCATAAGCCGGACGAACTGACCAGCGTAGAGTAGGGAAGACAAAAACAATCCTTCGCGAACAGTACCTGTGCCTCGCAAATAAGTATCTGAGAATGCGGCCATTGTTGCACAACCGCTCAACCGGGGGAGGGAGTACCCTGTGTCATTTCCGGATGCTTTATGCTAGATACTAGTACTCGTACTGTACCCTACGGCATAGCACGGCGGCGAGAACCTTACTAGCCGGAATACTAGTAAATTTAGCAGGGGCGTCTATCTAGCTCGCGATAAACGGGAGCATATACGCACTCGTAATTGAACGACGTTTGTAAACACGACTGCTATCGTATACAAGCAAAGCCTCGAGGCTCCGGTCGATCTTCTGCCCATATACAACAGCAGTCATGCTCACAAACGTGGCTCAACTGCGAGTACGATAGGGATGGTCTACGTGGCAATCTACTCTGCTGGAGCACATCACAGTGCGAGCACAGCACACTCCAAGTCCAGTACAGCATTTTTGAGAACATCCCTCAGCCTCAAGCACTCGGTCGCGTGCTCCTTGCTTAGTGCTCTTATCTGGCCCATAGCTGCCGCATGTTGGCTTGCCTGAAACTCACGGCGCTGGAAAGGCTACAGTACAGTGCGTTCGGATGTGATATCCTCGGCCAAGTAACCAACAATCACCTTCTGGCCCGAGCGGAGCGCCATTCACCATAGCCACGGAGCGACCGACAGAATAATCGGAAGGGCAGAGGAGCCGCATGTCACTCCCCTCACCGCGGATGCTTCCACCAACCACACCTTCCCCCTTCCCCGCTTGTAGAAGTACTTGTAGAGGTAGAAGTGTAGGCACAGTACTAATCAATCCACCAACCTGACTCAGACACCTACCATTCCCATTCCCATTGTTCCCTCCCATAAACAACCCTTTACTGTAATGGCACTCGGGAACCGGTACAGTATTGTATGATACCCCACTTGCGCAGTCCTCGTACAACAAACAAACAAACAAACAAAACAACAGCAACAGGGGCAACCCGCCGTTTCTGTCCTCCCACACGCAACACCCCCGTAGTTTCAGTGAACCTTTCCCCCTCCAAATAGACCACTTCCCAATGCTCTGCGAGACGGACAGGGGAGCATCGGTACACTTGTACGGGCAGGTTACGAGTAACTCTCGTGCGGCACCCTCGCTCAGGATAATTTGCCGATACGACAACACTAATATTAGCTCTCCTGGGGTTCCCGTTATCGTACGCCTGGGCGAACGGGTTCCGCAGCGCTGCGGGTATGTCCAATGTTAGTGGTCGCCTTCTGTCTCCACTCCGTGACGGTGGCGCTTAACCAACGACATTAGGGAGGTTCTCGCAGCCTTGTGCTACCGTGATGAGTGGTACAGTACGTACCGTACTTGTACTGTACGAGCACTCGTGTCTAGCCTCGAGTACCGTATTGTACCTGGCCTGGGAATACGGCCATTGTCACGCAACCACCCGGCCAGCCGGAAGAGCTGTGTCTGATTCTTGTACTAGTACTGTACGAGTACTCGTACGGTACACTTCATGCTGGATGCAGGTGCGGTGCCGCACGAGTACCATACCATACTTACCGTACGCTCCTGTGGGGTGGCTAGCCGGTACTCGGAAAAAACCAAGCCCTCTGTAAGTCGATGGGGCGGGGGGGAGGGTACTTGACACCCCTACCTAGATTGCAATATCATACAATTTCAAATAGTAATCTACTATTTATACGGAAGGCTCAATATAATGCGCCTTACCGTACAGCATGATACAATTGAATTCGTAGATTGCCACCTGTCTAATTGAAAGTGGATGAAATCTAAGTTCAAAGGGGGGCACACACACTATATCTCTCATGCACAATTCTGGAGATTCCTCCCTTCCTTCCTTCCACCAAACGGAAAAGTAGAAGCAAAAACACTTTATCTGGGGCAAGGTGGGGGTATCGCTATAAATACGATATCCAATCAGCTCTCTTAAACCCTAAGGTATCATACTTAGAGAACGTGTGTGATCACGGGTAGTCACTCGGAAGACAGGCTAAGAATTATGGGCCATTGTTCGTTCGCTGGTGGGTACCGTGTTCTGTGTGCGTATATCATATATCATATGAATCCCAGGCCCGGAGATGTTTCCACAGTTTGGAGGGGGGGGGGGCTCTTGTCAATTTACTCCCCATTTCTTCCGCTACTAGTCGCCAAGTTTGTCCTTGCTAGTGCTCGTGCTCCTCAGGTACGGACTTTTTTTTTTTTCGGCCAGCGAAATCCACCAATGCGATGGATGCTTGTGGGAAGGTTGGATACGGGGGGGTTTGTAGAAATTCGGATGAGTGTCAGAGTTTTTTTTTTGGTAGTGGTCGGTATCCGGTATGGTATGGTATGGTATGGTTGATAGGAGAGTTATGTGTAATAGCACACGGTTCTGGGGGGGTCGGAATGAGATTATGTGATAATGCTATTTGTCTGTGCTGGCTGGCTTTTCGGGAAAGTCCGTTGGGGAGGAAGAATTAGTTATGAATGGTTATTTTTATTTCACTTTTCTTTTCATGGCCTCAGTGTGTGCCGGCATGATGATGGTTTTTTTTTATCGGTTGTGTTTTGGTGTGGATGGGGATCGTTCGGATTTTTGGTGGTATATATATCGGAATACACAAATTTTCGTGCGGTGGGAAGTTCCTGCGGTGGGGTGTGTTCAGAGGAGAACCAGCTCCTTGTCGATCCGTATGGCTTTGAGGGGTGTATAGAAACGGGATAGAGAGATATTGGCCGCGTCACTATGGCTGTTAATGTGTTTGGTCGTAACTTACCCATACGCCATTTATGTGCCTGAAAATATCATGCTCGGGGAAGGTAGGAGGGGGGGGGGGGGCTTCACGGTGTAGTGTTTCCTGCAAGTGTGTCGGGACGGGTAGTGAGTACGTGATGGACTCCAAACTCTCATCTGAGATACATGCCGGTATACCGGTTTGGACATTGCTTTCTTTGCTTAGATAGCTTGGGTTATCCTTCATTTCTCCTTATTCCTTTCCTCCCTTCTTTTCTCCCCTAGCAAGTGGTTAATCTGCGCGCCTCCTTCTTCTATGTTTGTTGGGCTCTCGGAGCACAAAGCCAGAGATGCCACCAGCCCAGAACAGATTGGAAAGAAATGTGGATTTATTAATTTGTCATGTCTGGCTCGTGAGCTTCCCGGGAAAACATTTACCTAGGATTAGCCCTTGCCCTATTTTCTCTAATTGGGTCAATATTAGAATACCGTGAGAACTCAGATAATTGTCACCATCCAAAACACCCCAAAAGCTCCTTTCTATAATAGAGGGGTGAAAACACAGCGGAAACTGATCCCCCTGATCCCCACCTTAAGTCAAAAATGTGTTGGGCCCATGCCTGTAAATGCAAATCCAACATCCTAGCACGAGTGCCAGTTACTCGAATTCTTACGATAGGTTTGGATAAGGGCATGGATCAGGCCAGTAGTTTCGAGTGGGCATGACACTCATTCCCTTTACCCCAATCATTCATTCTCCGAAGGGGACGATGGCAAGTCATGAATTTCCCTCAGCAGTTTCACCAAATAGCATCCCTCGTGTGTTCAAGCGGGACGCATAACCCCACGCCACAGTGCTAACCCTCCCTGTGTCCTCTCCTAAAAAGCACGGTCCGAAAGCAAACAAACAGACAAACACATAAGTTAGTTTCCTACACTTGCTCCCACGCCGCCAAATTCCACAAACGGGTGATCGGCTGTGACGCGACACCCGAGCAATGAACATTCAGATGATAGTAATCGGTGTTTTCCTACTAATAATAATATCCTACACCATTGTTACCCTCCAGGATGTGTCAAATACCAGGCACAGATACTCTTCTGTCGGGCTCCTACCGTACGCCTCCCCCCCCCCAGCCAACTTAGTTCAAGCTCCCTCCCGCACATGGATGACTGATCGTGATACTTGTCGACCAGGTCCACCAAACCCATCAAACAACCTCCCCCGAAAAAAAGGAAATACCCAAGGCCAAAGTATTAGTGTTCCCTAGGATTGCCGTAGCAATGGGGATACCCTCGGCCTATAAAAAAAGGACTCTTAAGCAGGGTTGTACGAAAACGCGGTAAAGAACCAAGGACGTCTCCGATCGAGCGTTCGTGGAGACGTCCAGAAGGGAACTATTGAACCGTATCTATAGCTCAGGAAGCCTCGCAGAGGGGGGGTTACCAGGACGCTTGATAGCATTCATTCTCCCATCTCGCACATGGCGTTTCTTAGGGGATACTTGTTGTAGGTTAGCGCTTGTATGCAACAAATTATGATGAGTTATATGGTAATGTTTGGTATATGTAATTAAAAACAACTCTCTCTTCACGTAATGGATGGATGGCCGAGTGGTTATGGCGCTAGCTTCAGGTGCTAGTGGGGCAACCCGCGTGAGTTCGATCCTCACTCCATTCAACTATCTTTTTTGCGCTTTTTTTTTTTTACTTTTATTCCATCGCCCACCATTTCTGTTTTTTTTTTCCGCTTCTTTTGCTTGGAGACGTCATCAAAGGACAAACGAAACAAATCAAGTCACCCGGAACGAGCGGAAATTGAATATCTCGTGCGTGATTGGTAAGTTGTGGTATTATTTGTTCTTGCTAAACAAGATTACATCTAGGAGAAAGAAAAAAAACGGCGTACTGTATAAACCCCCCCCCTCCCCACTAACTATACATAGAATTGCTTTTGAATGTAACAATATAGCACGTAAGGAAATGGTTAAGTTAATGGTGTGGGTGGAAAACTATAACTATAACTAGATACGTGAAAAGAAAAGGTCAAGACAATGTAAAATAGCGAGTGACAACTCATGACCCTAAAGCATTACGAGGGAAGAAATAAAAAGGAAAAAAAGAAAAAGAAAGGTTGAAAGAGATGGCAGAATAAAAATACAAGTACCCTGGACAAATAAGGGCGGGGAAGGGAGGAGAATGGGTTCGATGATACGGAAGGAATACACTGAAAATGGGGCGAAAAAAAAAACAGCAACGAAACTTCCATTAGACATAACAAGATAGAACAGCGCCGAGAGAACATGACAAAGGAGATAACAGGTGGACTCTGAAAAGGTGGGGAAAATGGAACGAGGGGCTAAGGTGAGAAAAATAAAAATACAGGGATATTATTAGGATGGAAGGATCTGACCCTCATCGCTTGTGGCCAGCCAATCTTCCAGTAGCGTCCAGAGCCGTTCCCATTGTTGCCATCTAGTGGAGCTCTGGCTCCGCCCACTCCAGACACCGCTAAGACAATTTGACCAACATGAATTTTCGACCGACCAAAAGGGCCCCGCACTGGATCGGGACCCATTAGCAAATTCCCAGGACTGTTGATCACTTCGCATGCGCAAGAAGATCAACGAATTATAGATAGCGAGGGTGAGCACAAGCCCCAGACCGAGGAAGGTGAGTATACCCCACGCAGCTCCTGGCTTGGGGCCTGTGCGGAGAATGGAAGCGACTGGAGTTTGGTGCGGGCGGCGAGGCAGCATTGGGGCGGCCAACTTGGCACTTATCCCAGGGTCATTGCTTGATTGGCGCTGAGCGGTTGCAGGTGGGTCTACGTTATCATCGTTATTTCCCCCTCGTGCCGTCCGCGCCCGCTGTTCGTTGATATAGTCCTGATAAGCATTTGTTCCAGGAAGTTGGTAGTCCGCGTCATCTAGACTAAAAGCAATATCCCAAAGCTGCCTCCAGGGCCAAGCAAAAATTCCGAATGGGTTGTTGACACTAACGAGCCCAAAAGTCGCCTTCTCGCCCCGTGCTGGCCAAGCTTCCTCACGGAGGGTTCGGCGCGCAGCACGCTCCGCTTTTGAAGCGAGACCCCAGATTTCCTGAAGGATTACTTGATCGGGAGGTGAGCTTTGCTCACTAATGAAGTTGGTTAAGAACTCTACGTCAGCAAGCGTGAGTCGTGGTTTGTCCGCGAGATCTTTAAGATAGGCCCGGGTTTCGAGCGTGGTACGGATAGATTCGACGTATTCGCCATCTGTGCCAGTGAAGCGAAATTGGCCTACCCAGACCCCTCTTCCCCCTTCTGCCCGAGGGTCGTGCGGCCTCCTCCCGCGACGGCCACCACCACGATGGCCGCGACCACCACGACCACCACGACCACCATCATCATCTCCATCTGAAGGACTGTCTGGATCGTCACTACCACCAGCACCACCGATGGCGCCATCACTGTAACGAGTGCTGCCTTGACCTTCCGTCTCATCGCTCGGACCACCCCTTGCCTCACTATTCCTCTGACCCACCGGCCCAGTGATAGCATCATACGTGCGGGGTTCAGTTTTCTCAGGTGCTGCACCGCGGTCGCGGAGAAGCGATTTGACACCCTGACCCACCGGATGGCTTGCTGCGTGAACAACATCCTGGAAGATAGTTGTGAGGTGGTGAGTATGCACGTCGAGCCTGGGTGTTAGGGGCAAGACTCCCCTAGTATCTTGTTCTCCAATACCATTTGTGCCGAGATCAGAAGGGGATGGCAAGTCTAAAAACGCAAACATGTCAGCATTACTTCGGTAAACCTCCCTGCCTGGGCTCATACCGGTGTCCTTGTCTGCCATAGACTGTGGGAGGTGTGGGTTAGTGGGTCGGAAATGTGGATAATCCTTGAAGACATCTTCAAGAGAATCGTAAAGACCCTGGGGCTCTTCGGGCTCAAAGTTTCCAATTTCGTCGCCGAGGCGTCTGCTTGTAACCCTGATGCTCCCTTTCGGTGCCCTATCAGCGGCCCTACTTTGCGATTCCAATGCCCTACAGTCCCTGGTGACTTTGTTGACCTCCTTTTCTAGGTTCTCAATCCTCATATCCCGATCCGCAATGTCTCTTTCCTTAGTACTGAGTTCTACCTCTTTGGCCTTGAGCTCTGTCTTCAGTTCCTCCACGTCGCGGATATAAATTTTAGCCTCGCTGAGTAGCTTTTCGTTCATTCGTTCTGTGTCAGTGAGACTGGCTCGATCGGCATTCGAGGCGTTGACTTCCCGCTGCAATAGCAATTGAACTTCTTCTCTCCTCCTGACCTCTTGTTTTCGAGAGTGTTCAAGTTCCTCGATCCGGGTCTCTGATTTGGCAATCTCATCCTCCATCGTTCGTATCATAATAGTACCCTTCGTATATTGCGACTCGAATTTCTTAGCCTCCTCGGCCAACCTTTCCTTTTCCTTCTGCAACGCCTGGTTCTTGTTCTCGATGGTGTCGTACCTCTGTTCCCAATAAGCTACAAGCTCGGTGTATCTTTGGTTAGCCCGATTAAGTTTTCTATCAACTTCCTCCAGCCGTCTCCGGCGAGTCTCAAAATCCTCCCAAAACTGACGAAACTCTTGAAGAAGGTCCCTAAGATTTTCAACCGTTAAACCACTTAATGAGGCTGGCTCCAAGGACATCTCGAGCCACATTGGGTTTACAGCCAAAGGTCTGCCATCCTCCCCTATTCCTTCCTCGGTATTCGCGCTCCCTCTCTGTTTTAAACTTGGCTCCCCCAGAGCCGGCTCTGACCCTGACAAGTTGACTGGCTTTCTAGCTCTAATAGGAGTGCTGGAATCAAGTGGTGGACCTCCAATAAGTCCCGTTGAATCATCTCCGACACTACCATCACCCTCAGCATACGGCCTGGGTGAGCTGTGCAAAGCATTGAAAAGGGAATCCTCTTGCCCGGTGGGGTTCGATGGCGACCTCCTTGGGGAGAATCTTGGGGATCTGAGAAGACCCCCACCGAGGCCCTCAAATGTAGAATTTCCAGACGCAGATGTATCGATACCGGGCGTAGACTGCTGGCGGTCGACCGGTGGCTCTTGACTTGTGCTTGTGCTTTGGAGTTCGATCAAACGATCGATAAGCCCAAATCCCAGCATCTTCAGAATCATATCCTCAAACTCAGTTTGCGTTAGGGTAAAGGTAGGGTCCTTTTCCACCGCAGCTCCAACGGCCGATTCGCCATCTGCACTAAGAATCGAGTATTCGGTACCACCGAAAGCTTGCTCAAGCTCACGAAGAATTGCAACAACATCACGCACTGCGACCTATTTTGGGGTCAGCGGGGATGTAGGAAGACTACAAGCGAGTGAAATGTATCGTTTACTAAGCCATAGAGTTGCACAATTTGGGGCAGAGAAAAAACTTACAGAGCCTGTATTAGCAGGATCATATTTATTGAATATAGTCACATACAGCTCTCTCGCGCGAACAGGATGTGATTCTTTATTCCCACCAAAGAAGTCCTTCGCGGCTGATGTATCTGACTCCATTTCAGACGATGAAGCCGAGCTGTTCGAAATACCGTCTTGGGACCCTTCTCGTTTTTTCAACCTCCTGTTCCGATTGGAGAGGACCGGTATTCTCGCAGGCGATCCTGTCGCAGTGACGGACGAATTAGGTCTTCCAGAAAGTTTTGATTGCGCAGATGTACTCCGACGTAAAGCAGCTGAACCACGGCCGTTGGCGGGACCTGGTGGGGACGGTTTTGGCGCCCCTGAGAATCCACCCAGCCCTAATCCAACGCTGAGTCCGACACCTGTCGTTTCAGTGTTATTCTGGTTGTTGGCGTTGGTATTGACTTCGTTGCGATACGACGTAGGGTGCGTAGGAGTAGAGGTTTGCCGATTAAAAGGAGCAGGCCGTGGTATAGAGCTCGGCGGTGGTGCCGATGAGGTTGGAGGGCCGGGAGTAGTGGAGGAAGGACGGGGTTTTGACGGATCTCGACCAGCAGCGGCTTTCAGGTCGCCTGTCGATTTCCGAATCAAACCCGACATGATTTGAGGTTCTTTGTCTTAGAAAGTATATTGTTGTCTCGTAGTGATTTTGTGGATGGATGAATTGGTAGACAAAGGGTAAGCTTCAATAAAGTGCTTTGTTTGCTTGCTCCGACCGGTGGGATGAGTGTTGTGTCGAAAACAGTACGAAAGAGAAGAGGTGCCTGGGGCCGCAAAACGGTCGACGGAAGGAAGCCTGAAAAGGCGACTTAGTTTCCGAGGACACTCGATTTTTCCGATTTCTCTTTCTCCCCTTCCTCCTCTCCTTGTTCCCTTTTCGGCGGGTTAGGGACAAGATGGAACAGAGAGGGGGTTAGGGAAGCCTGACTCGGTATGAGGCTTTGTAAAGCACCTGTAGTGTAGCTCTGGGCGTAGTCTGTCAGCGGTTGTGGTTGTGGTTGTTGACCATCATAGGCAACAGATGGTGGAGGGGCAGCACTAGCGCGGGTGAAGCTTCAGTTAAGCGGGAGATTCCTCAGAAGTCGCGATGTTTTGACGCAGACAACCCCTAACCCTGCAAACTCGGACCATCGCCCCGCCAAGACTCTCTTGAGTCAGACAAATGCTGAGCTGTCAATATATTTCCTATTTGGGATGCATAACGGGAGTAACCCTTAGTGGGATAGTTCAACAAGCTTTATGCATTACTAAGCAAACCTAAACGCTAACCGCTTTAAGATGGAATTTTTGCCAGGGCTGATGAGCACGGCCCGACCGGATGGGGCAACCGCAGCGCCCAGAGGTCCTCACGAGTAGGAACCCCACGATAGGACAGGACAGGACCCCCCTTGAAGAGAGAGTGGATGCGTGCGAGAGAGAACCACTCGCTAACAGTTGGCTGACTGATGCTCATCTACCCGCCATTATTGAATATCTCGCTTGAACTGACCGTTTATCCTCATCAGAGGAGGAGAAAATCAGTTGCATCCTCGATAAACTCGGCTCGGGAGCAGAGAGATAATAATACTTATCTCCCTGTATTGTACACCATTGAAGCCTGGTGTCTTGATCTAGAGCCCGAATACTTAGGGGAACACTCCTACGGCCGGAAATACACAGGCAAACACTCTCGCATCGTTACCCCCACCACCGTTCGCCTTCCACTGTATCCAGCATGTTCTCCTCTCTCCTACAGAAAGCCACAGCCTTCATAACAGATGTCCCTCCTGCGTCACCAACCTCCCCAACTTCTTCCAGGCCGACAAAAACCACTCTCTTTCGCAACCACTTTCGTCTTCCCGATTCGCAAGCACCACTACAAGAGATAACTTGTGAGCTTACACTTCCGTCTGGTGACCACTATGCTGGCAAACTCTACCTCTCCGAGAGCTTTCTCTGCCTTTCCCCGAACCCTCCGAGCTCTTCTTCGACGGCCTCCGCGACCGCCGGCATTGGCTTCACCCTTCCACTATGTGCTATCCGTCGGGTTGAGCGGTTGCATTCAAGGAGCTACATGTTTGCTCTGGCTATTACCACCTGGCATGGGGTGGCCACCTCCGCCCCACCACCCGGGGGGAAGGAGGAACGGGTGACGTTGCAATTTGTGGGCATGAGGAGCTCATGCGAAGCATTTTGTGACAGGCTCAAACGTGGTTTGAGGTCCCAGATGGGTGAGGTCAAGAGCCTGAGGATTCTTGTTGATAGCTGCTACAGTGAATACCTGCTGGGCAACAGTGGCGGCTATGATGGCGTGAAAAGGAGCACAGACGGTGTCGGTGCCGACGATGGTAGGAAGAAGGATAAGGATCCGCCCGATGCTGGCTTGGGAATGATTTTCAAATATCCCGGTGATACAAGAAAGTTGAGAGATAGGAGCAAGATGAGACTCTGGGCAGAGTATTTAAGAGGTATACCACTTCGAAATCTGCAGGCACTTAGCACGGTATTTTCAAGCTAACTTTGCTTTAGAGAACGGTCGGAACGTAACGCTCGTTAGACAGCCTACATTTCATAAGCTTATTAGAGTGGGCCTGCCGAATGTAAGTTTTGTTCACCGGCATTGCACCGTGTGACTAGGCACTAACGCTCGCACAGCGGTTACGGGGCGAAATATGGGAATTATCTTCTGGCTCCATGTACCTGCGGCTTTTTAATCCAACCATGTACCGGGATATCCTCCACGAATATGATGGCCGGCATTCGCACTCGATAGAAGAAATTGAGAAGGATCTTAATCGTTCCTTGCCAGAGTACCGCGGATTCCAGGACGATGAAGGTATTTCTAGGCTGAGGCGCGTGCTTGGAGCCTACTCATGGCGGAACGAGGAAGTCGGGTACTGTCAGGCAATGAATATTGTTACAGCTGCACTGTTGATGTATATCTGCCCTGTCACGTCACTAACTATTATAGCGCTGAGTTTCTAACATTGGGAATAGATACATGTCTGAGGAACAGGCATTTTTTCTCCTCTCGGCCCTCTGCGACCGCTTAGTCCCAGGATACTACTCAAAGACAATGTACGGAACTCTCCTAGATCAAAGGGTCTTTGAATCATTGGTAGAGAAAACTATGCCAATCCTTTGGGAGCATCTTGTCAAATCCGATGTTCAGCTTTCAGTCGTATCATTGCCTTGGTTTCTTTCCCTTTACATCAATTCCATGCCCCTGGTATTTGCTTTCCGTGTTCTGGATGTATTCTTCCTGGAGGGTCCGAAGGTCTTATTTCAGGTCGGTTTAGCAATACTACGAATCAATGGGGAAGAACTTCTCGATGCCACCGATGATGGTGCTTTTATCTCTGTCCTTAAGAGTTATTTCTCACGCCTAGATGAATCAGCGCACCCCAGATCTGAGAACGATAAATTGCGGGCTGTCACCAGGTTCCAGGAATTAATGGTAGTGGCGTTCAAGGAGTTCGCAGGAATTACACAGAACACAGTAATTGAGCAAAGAAACAAGCATAAAGATGCGGTTTTATCCTCGATAGAGAGCTTCGCAAAAAGAACTCAGCTAAGAAATCTTGGTCCCGATAGTAAGCGTCTGACTCCCGAGGAATTAGGCTGCACTTACGACCGGTATTTCGGGGTATTGTACGAGCGCCAAGGAAGGCTACAAATGATCGCGGATGAGATGGAGAAATTGGCCACAAAAAAGAGAGCTGCTGCGGGAAGTGGTGTAGGTGGGAACGGAGGCGAAAGAGGAAGAGTAGGGTTGGGACCAACCACTGGGGTAACGGGAATGGATTATGACTGTTTCCGAGAGTTCCTAACCGGGATTGCCAAATGGGCGGTTGCTGACTCGGTCTTGAGCGCTCCGGCTGAACCCGCACAACCAGAGCAGCCCGGCTTTTTTGGTTCATATGGAGGTACTGCTGCTGCCTCACAGTGGAAAAATCTGCTCAACCCTTGGGGCGCAGGGAATCCTGAACCTGCCGATCACGAGTTCATGAAACGGATGTTCCGGCGCTGGGATACTGACATGAAGAATCAACTGAGCCTCGGAAATGTGGTCAGCGGCCTGGCGAGCGTTGTTGGTGGAAAGAGGGATATTATGGGCAATATTAATTACTGGTTTGAACTCTATGATGACGACGGAGACGGGAAAGTCGACAGAGAAGGTATCTTAAGGATTACTGAGGCTCTTCTATTTGTCACAAGACGCGGTGATATAGGCAGGAGTGAGAGTGAAAGTGACGAAGCAGAGTGGGGGGATGAGAGGATTTTGAGCGCAGTCAGTGGATTCACTAGAATGTGCTTTGAGTACGCGGACCCGGATCGACCAGAGGAAGAGGGGGATGTAAAAGAAGCGGGTAAAGACGAGGACGAAGACGACCTCCTAGAGCTAATCGCTTCCTCCTCGGACGAAGATCCACTGAACACTCCCGAAACCGTTAGTCCCGGCGAAAGAAGTCCCACAACACCCGTTCCCAAAGACAACGCGAAAGCCAACTTAGCCCTAGATCCTTCAAATCCACTTCATATTACCCTCCCTACTTTCCGGATGGTCATACTTGCCGACGAAGTTCTCGAACGTTTCTTCGAGCGTGGCTTCGCCGAGAGCTTCAGGCTAATACCTGGAAGCGAGCCGCAGGCTACCTTAGCGAATCCGCGACTCATGGCCCGAATGCCCACCACACCACTCACCCCCGGAAATGCCAAGGGGCTTAGAGGTGTACTCGATGGAATTGTGGATGAGGGAATGAGAGTTGCGGCGGAAGTAAGGAGAAGAATGGAAGAGATGGATGACAACAGAGAAGAGGAAGGAGAGGAGGGTGAGGCGGCAGACGCAAAGAGCATCAGAGAGGGCGATCGAGACCTTCTCAAGGGGGCAGAAGCAGACATTCAAGAAGGCCAAGGGCAGGCAGATGAATTACATGTTGAGAAGGGAGGGGGAAACAAGGGAGAAGGGAGAAGTAGAAGCGTCAGCTATGGCGATCAAGCTAGTAGCGGAGTGGTAGAATTTGAAAGTTAAAGATCTGTGAGGTTTCGACCGCAAAATAGTGGAGGGAGTTGGGTGTGCATTTGACATTATCTTCTTTGCTGTCTCTTTACCATCCTCATAGTTGTTTACTTTGTCCACCACTTTTGTACGAGTTTCTAGGAAGAAAATTTTAAACAAAGGTGCAGCAAATACGATCTGATCAGCAGACATCGTTCCCTTTCCCCCTCCCTCTGCCCTTCTCTCTTCCCGGTAATACATATATATTATATATATATATATACTGCAACTAAGGGACCAGCAGTAAATGAACAAAGACTGGTACCATAATAATCCGCCAGTTTCCTTGTTCTAAAACACAGACGTGCTCCTCAATCCAACCCCCACCCATACTATGATATCCCACTCCCCTCATCTATCCATCCATCTTAATTCCCACACCTAGTCATCATCATACCCAGCAGGAATCCTCCGCGGTCGATTCGGCACTAACCAGAACATCAGCCTCCCTTCTCCAAGCTCAATTAACTACGACAACGGACCTGGATAACTGAGCGGGATAGGAGGCCTCTCCCAACCAAACCTCTTCTTAGCCATGACTCCCCCGAGGAATATGAGGGGTCCTTGGACCCCGATAATGACGGACCAGAACAGCGCTGGGTATTGGTGCGCGGCGTAGCGCATGTAACGGAAAGGGTGCGCCCAGAAGTAGGGTGTTGACATGTTTGCTTGCTAGTTTTCCCCCTCCCCCTTTTTTTTTCCCTTTTGGATGCGTAGATGGGTAAGTAGATGGGTAAGTAGATGGGTAGGTAGATGGATAGGTGGGTAGAATCGTTTGGAATCGGGCGTTGGGATGAAGGTGAAGTGAGGCTGATTGGTTGATTACGGTGGTGGGGGAGAGGGTGGACAGGAGCGTAAGGTTTAAGTAGGGTAACTCTTGCAGGCAGGGAGGCCGGCAGGTTGGGATTGGGTCGTTACTCCATGAGGTACTGTACTGTACTGTAGTCTAAGTTAGATGGGCTTTTGAATGCCCAGGCAGGAACAGAAGTACCGTATGATATGATACGATATACCAGTTTTTGGCTAGGTATGATATGGCAGCTTACCGTACAATACTCGTGCTTGTACCATCAGTATGATGGTAACATACTGGCGGGACACAAACACCCGCACTGACTTACGAGCAGCCTCAGGATTTTACATACCTGAGGGAAAAGTTATCGGGATGCAAAAAAAAAAAAAAATTCTACACAATTACGTGCTTTTATTGCTAGCATCCTACCCACAGTGCCATACCGTATTTCAAGGTCACGAGAAACAATTTTAGCTAATCATACCAGCAGAAAGGCGACAAGTATTGTACGGTACGGTACTCGTACGAAAAAAAAACCCCCACAAATATATAATCCCATCATGGCCAAAGTTCCAGCCACCATGCCAGTATAAATACACAAGATGGGCTAAAAAAAAAAAAGAGAGAGAGAGAACCAAACCCCAAGGATGACTCACTCTCCGTCCCCCTTGGAACACTACTGACCATAACCTATCCCAACTCTAGTCCAAATACCCATCTGAAGATTCCACTTCTCCAGCTTATAAAGTACCCCCCATTTACGATTGGACCTCCCCTCACGCAAATATTATAAACAAATAATAGGAAAGGAAGCCCACACGTCCCCCCCCCCCTCTTAAAAAAACCGGACTTTTAACAACAACTTTTCCCCCGAAACTCTTGCACTTGGTGAACCGCATGATCCCGCACTAGCGGTTTACCATGTTTTCCGGAGTTGAGGAAGATAAGGGAGAAAGGGGGGGGGGTGCAGAGGGAGAAATGCTGCGGAGAGGACGACCTTTTTCCATTCTCGGTTCTATATGGATGGACGGGAGTTTGGTGCCCGGGGGGGAGGGGAGTACATGTACTATACGACTGGGGTGTGGTATTGCAGCCATATGTAGGAGAACTTTCATTTTGCGTATGTTAATACCGTACAATCGCGTCACTCGAGTATGATATATATTCGCCCGGGTGGCAGACTTTATAAACCAATTATATGGTTGTATCCGGGAAAACCTCGATCCAAAATTTCAGCCGATGAGACGGCAGTCATAACAGCCCCCCTACGTTACCTGTTTATGTCCCGTTCCTCACATGGAGAGGGGCTCCCCAATTCCTTTCCTGCAACACATTGCTTGAGTAATATTTTGGGGGTGGGAGGGTATTTTGGCAGTGGTGGAACATTGTCTTCCTTCCTATCTACAGTGCCCACCCACCGATCAAAACTTGTCAGGTCGAGCGTGGTACTGGCAGTACTCTGAGGTATCAGAACATGCCTCGAATCCTTTCCCGTACATCCCTCCCTCCTTTCTCCCTCCCTCACTCGAGTATCTCTAGCACTGAGGCACATAAGCCAAGATCAGGCCTTATACAATACCTGTACTTGTGCATAGACAAGATCACCCCAGCTCATACACGGCGTTCACCCTGTCTGTACGGCAATCAGCCGAGTGACTTACAGTGCGCGGGTTGTTTTGAGACAACCTCACCATAGTCGAGAACAAGCCATATCTGACCGACTATTATATTATCTACATA